ATGTCCATTAAATCAAGCTTACTTTGTTTTTCAACTGTCTATATATTTAATAATTTTTATCTGTTTGTACTATTAATAATTGAAAGAAGTATGTTAATCTCTCTCCCTTTTTTTTTTTTTACAAATTCTATGCTATTTTATTTGTGGACTACAAGTTATAGGTATAGTGCTAGATAATTTACATATACTAAGTCATGTTTTTAAAAAATTGAAGTATAGTTGATGTACAATATTATGTAAGTTACAGGTATACAATATAGTGATTCACAATTTTTAAAGGTTATACTCCAATTATAGTTAAAATATTGGCTATATTCCCCATGTTATACAATATATCCTTGTAACTTACTTTATATAATCTCCCATTTTGATGGTCAGTTTTTCAATTTCTCTCTAGTTGTGCATAATATTCCTTTATATATTTGGAGCTGTTTCATTAGTGCATATTAATAAAACATACGAGGTTAATTTACTCTGTGTAGTGATCTAATCTTTTATAATGCTTTTATTGTCTTGAAGTTTTATTTTTTAGATATTAATATAACTACCTCAACTTTCTCTTGGTTAGCCTTTACCTGGTATATCTTTTTTGTATCTTTTTTACTTTCAGTCTTTCCCAGTCTAAATGTGTCCCTTGTGAAATGTCACATACCTGGATTTTTAAATTTTATATAGTCTGTTAACCTCTGTATTTTAGAGGGTGAATTTTGCTCATATGTTTTTTATGTTTATTGATATATTGGAGCTTGTTTTTTTTTTTTTACCATCTTAACTTTTGCTTTTTATTTGCTTCACTTTTTTCTGCGCTGTTTCTCCTTGTCTTCAAAAATTTTTTTCTTATTTTATTTTTCCCACTACTGATTTTGCAAGATTGCATCTCAAATGAGCTGGCTGGTAACAGGGTTAATGTTAGTAATAGCAACCCATGGTCGAGGGTGGGGTTGGGGGTGGGATCTGGCTTTTCTAAAAGGAGACGGATTGGAAAGTGATAGGGAGAAACGGCAGAGAGCTGATGGAAGTCATGGCTGATGGATTCTGAAAATGTTTTTTGACAAATATGAAACAAGGATGTCTGATAGGAACTGGGGAAAGGGGAAGTGGGAATGTGAGATGAATGAAGGCTTAAAATAGAACCTGAAGGAACTAGGTAAGGGAACTGAACTAAAGTATGTAAAAAGATTTGTGGGTGACAAGGAGGGTCCAGCTCAGATTGTAGACCAGTAATTATGTAGGACCTGCATGTAGGAGCAGACAAGGCAGACTGCAGCATTTGTATAGGTTTGGGATTTTGATGGGAAGTTGCTGCAGAGGGATGAAGGTATATGGATATGGAAGATATTGGTGAGACTAGTTCAGATGTTGAGCCATCTGAAATCTAGGATGGGTAAGGAAGGAAGATAGATCAGCAGGAGGCAAGTAGACCAAGGGACAATGGAGGGTGGGTTCAAGAGACTGTGGTCTTGATGAAGTTGAAGAGCAGGTATAGTGGGAATGAGATGTGATCAAAAAGTAGAGATTCTTTTTTTTAAATTTTTAATTGAAGTATAGTCAATTGAATTGAAGTTATACATATACATACATATTTATGTGTATTTTTTCAGTTTCTTTTCCATCACAGCTCATTACAAGAGATCAAATACAGTTCCCTGTGCTATGCAGTAGGTTCTTGTTGTTTATCTATTTTATATACAGTAATGTGTATCTGTTAACTCCAAACTCCTATCGCTCCACCCTGAAAAGTAGGGATTCTTGAATTTAAGATTTCAGTTGTGGGGGCAGTTCTGGTTGGTCAAGTATATGAGTGAAAAATAAAGGGGAGATATACAGTATTAGCAGTTGTATTTTCTTATGGTGCTATCTTTGTTTCCTCAGTCATGTTCTTAATTCCTTGTCTTTTACTATTACTTGGTCTCATTATTGTGCGAACGTGACTGTCTCATAACAGAACTCTGCTGCCTCTCTACAAACACCAGTTTTCTAAAAAATCTGGTTTTGTTCTCATTTCCTGTGTGCCTATGCCATCCTTGGTCTTGAATTGCCAGGCAATTGGTGATACCTGTTTTATCCAGGAGCCACTGATTTTGTGGCCAGTGCTTCAGCTATAATCACACATATGGGAATTCGTTTTCACAGTGCTTTTGATTGCTGTGTTCAGTATTTTATAATTGCTTTGGCCATGATCCTGCCTGGGACAGAGCCAGTAGAGCACCAGCTCTAGAATCAGATTGTCTGGGCTTGAATCCCAGCAACTGCAATTACTTGCTGTTTATTCTTGGGCAAGTTAATCTAACCTCTCCTGAGCCCTCATCTATAAACGATGGATAATAATAGTACCTTATTCTTGGCGTTGATGTGATGATTAAATCAGTTAATGTGTGTAAAGTGCTTGTTGCCTGGCATATAATAAATTCTCAATAAATGGAACTGTTGCGGTGATGATAACAGTGATGATGATCAATAATAGTGGTGGCATACGTAACACTATGTGCCGAATATTGGGTACGGTACTGGGTGAGATAAATAGAAGAATACTGAAAAAGTCCTTGTTTGAGAATATATGGAGTGTATATATTCTCCTTGAGGATAAGAACTAAGATTTCCTCAAGACTGCCTAACAAAGAGCCTGTGAAAGAGGGTTAGCATCTTATAGTTCAATAAAAACCAAGAAATAGCCAAGTCAAGAAAATGTTGAGATTTCAGGAACTTGTATAGCTTTGCTGTGTTGTTTATACCCTCTATTGTCCTTTTGGTAATTAGTTTTAAAAGTGAAAAGGGATTGTTGTCTAGTTTCAAGGGAGAGCAGAGACGGTAAGTATGATCCTCATTTTCTTTCTCACCCTCTGACCATCCTGGGCTCTTTGACTCCCGTGACTACCAAATATCTATTTTCAGACACAGTCTCTCTTCCTGAGGTCCAGCCTTATGGCCAACTACCTCTGGAACCTAATTATCTTGTTCACATGGAGGATGCAGCACAAACTCAATATGACTAAAAGGAAACGTCTTGCTTTACTTCCACACCTGTTTCTTCTCTTACAGCCCTTATCACTGTTAGGACTGTCACCAGCCAGTCAGTTGTTTAACCTAGACATGAGAGGTAGGCATCTTTGCCTTCACCATCTTCATCCTCTTCACTCAGTCAGTCACCACACTGTTCTGTCAGTTCTACTACTCATACCTATTCTCTGTTCTTCCTTCTTGCTGTTCTCGTTTAGGCCTGCCCTGTAGCAGATTCAGCAAGTACGTGTACTCCAAACATGTGTTCCAAACATTGTGATGGGCCCTTAAACACATTATTTAATTTTCTGGACAACTTTGTGAGGTAGGTCACCTTGAAGATGAGAAACCAGAGGATGAAAGAAATACAGTGACTTGCCCAGTTGGTTAGAGGCATAGTTAGTAAACCTAGGTTGTATTTTTGTGTGGATTATTGCAATAATTCCTCTGTCTTCTTTGAAATTTAAACATAAGACATGTTTATTAAAAAATCAGAACTGTATAAAGTAAAAAGTAAAAGTTACCCCCTTCCAACTCTATCCCCCCAGAGAAACCAATGATAATGGGTTTTGTTCTAGACCTTTTTCTTTACATATGCAAATGTGTAGATAAATACTTTTCCAAAGAGATCATTCAAGTGTAGTCCTGAACTGACTTTTTTTAAAACTCAGGAGCATATTTTCATACAGATCTACCACATTTTAAAAATGAATGCATAGTACACCACCATATGAAAGTATTGTTTTGTTTAAAGGTTTCTCTATTAAATAACTTGTTTTTGCTCTTACGCATAATGTTGCGGTAACTTTCTTACACATATGCCTTGCGTACGTATTTATGTAAATATTTCTATTAGGTAGATTCTTAGAAGTGATATTGCTTGTCTAAGGAGTATGCATATTTTACAATGTGTTATGTACTACCAATTGTATTTCAAATTATCTTTTGAATCAGTCTTTGATACTATAGCTAGAAAGATCTTTGTAAAATGAATTTGATCATGTGTTTTCCCAATATCAAAAACAAAGCAACAACAAAGATGTTTGATTGAGTTATATTGTCTATGTAGTCAATTTAAAATTTAATTTTTGAGACTATTTGAGAGATACATAATCTGATCCCAACCTGTATTCCCAGCCAACAAACATATACTCTGTTCTATAAGGTAAAACCCACCTGTTCTGTAAAACCTTCCACATGTATAGTTCTCTTTCTTCCCTTTCTATACAAGACAGAGTTAGTTACTCCCTCCTCTAAGTTCCCATAATGATTTCTTATCCCTCTAATAGAACTCAGTGCCCTGTACTGTATTTATGTATATCTGTTTCCCCTATTACTCTGTGAACTTGTGAAGAACAGGAACTGTGTCTTACTCATCTCTGTGTTCCCAGCACTTTGCACAATGCCTGTCAGAGCAGGTGCCCAACAAGTGTGCATGAAATGGGTGAAGATATTCTTGAGGTAGTGTTAGCAATAAGAACTTTGGGAAATAGAGCAGGCGATGGAAGTTTGGAAGTGTAGCAGGAAGCTGACTGAATCCTGGGAACATGGAAGCTGGTCAGGAAAGGAGGAATGGGGATTCAGCTGGCAGAGGTCCCTGTGTGGTTTTCTTCACTGCAGACACTAGCTGTCTGATTATTTGGCTTACTAGGCTTGTGACTTGAGAACACTGAAAGTATTGACAATTGGATGATTGAGGATCCACTTGGTGGAGGGGGAGTTTGACTCAGCTGTTCAGTGCTCTTTCCAGACTAAGATGCTTATGTTGAAAGACCCAGCCCTTTGCCAGAGTCGTGAATAAGTTTTTATTCTTGAAAAATCAAAGCCTCTTTTTATCTTCAGGGTAGGATTCAGATGGGAGTAGGTATAATAAAAAGGCCAGATACTTCTATGTTGTTTCTTTAGCCTGGCTTAAGGGGAAAGTGGCCTACCGAAAGTCTCTGGAGTGTCGGCCTCTCCTGGAGTAAATGATCTATGTGAAATTGGTTCTTATCTTATTTCAGGCAACTGTGGTAGCTCTCCTGGTCTGGTAGCTTTGAAGAAAGAAGAGTAGAAGAGAAAATAGAATCATCATGTCAGAGATACTTGACCTCTCTTTTCTGTCTGAAGTGGAAAGAGATTTGATCCTCAGTGTTCTACAACGGGATGAGGATCTCCGGAAAGCAGAGGAGAAGCGGATTAGGTGAGAGTCCCAGAACAAGCATGGGTTCCCAGGCCTTTAACCAAAGATGTCTGGACTTGCACTTCTTTTCATCTAACTTTCAGAGGAACTTGTGTATGAGGTTTGCAGCTCCTTATTGGGTCAGGGTGGGCTTGGAGCAGGTTGCTTTCACAGAACCAAATGGTCTTACTGTCTCTGTCCCTCATTCCCTCTCCATCCAACCTCTGCAGATCCCAAATCACTTGTGTTTCTCTTTTGGGTCTTGGCAGGCGACTGAAGAATGAGTTGTTGGAGATAAAAAGGAAAGGGGCCAAGAGGGGCAGCCAACACTATAGCGATCGGACCTGTGCCCGGTGCCAGGAGAACCTGGGCCGTTTGACTCCCAAGACCAACACTTGTCGGGGTTGTAATCACTTGGTGTGTCGGGACTGTCGTATCCAGGAAAGCAGTGGTACCTGGAGGTGTAAGGTGTGCGCCAAGGAAATGTGAGTGTTACTTACGGCTGAGTAGAGAGAAAAAATGGGGCCCCAGTTGTGGTTAGAATTTCTCTCCTTGGCCTTTGTTGGTTGAATGTTGAGGACCATGTTTTTTTTCATTCATCTATCATTTTCTTTTATTCCTCCCCAGAGAGCTAAAGAAGGCAACTGGAGACTGGTTTTATGACCAGAAAGTGAACCGCTTTGCTTACCGCACAGGCAGTGAGATAATCAGGATGTCCCTGCGTCGCAAACCTGCAGGTACCAGACCTGTCGGGAAATGGTTCCCGGAGGTGCTTGACCTCAGTGATAGATCCTCTACTGTGGAATCCTAGTGTGTTCTTAGTGGTGGTGTCTTCACTTCATGGGCTCAGCCCATTTGCTGGGGAACGTGAAGATTGTGTTGCCATCCTTTCTACAGGTGTGCTGTGTTTCCCTTCCCCTCTCACCACCGCCCCTCTGCCATGCTTTTGTTTGTCTTGAAGTGAATAAAAGAGAGACAGTGGGACAGTCCCTCCTTCATCAGCCACAGATGGGTGATATTTGGCCAGGAAGAAAGATCATTCAGGAGCAACAGAAGGAGCCCAGGTAAGAACCAAGCAATCATTTAAAGAAATGCTACACATTCCTTTAATTCTTTTATTTTCTTACTTCTATTTATAAAATAATAGATGTTCATTATAGGAAAATTTGGGAAGTACAGAAAACAAAAAAAAGAAGAAAAAAACCATTTCTAATCCTGCTAACCACATATAAACATTAACATTTTGGCATATTTACTTAGTCCTTTTTAAGAACAATTTTAAGACAAATACATATAACACATACTCATTATTAAAAATTTAACCAGTATGGGAAACAATAAAGAAAGCAACAAATCACCCAAATTCCTACTACCCTAGTATTCACATTATGTAAAAATTATTTCACATATCTTTTGTGCATATATGTAGATAGAGGGATGGGTGAGTGGATAGAATGAAAAACCTTCATCATATTGGATCATAATGTATTAAAATAAAAGCTGTGTTTAATTTTACTTGAATTTAACAGAATAAAACACTGAAATAAGATACAGGAAGTGCTAATCTTCAGATGAATGATTCTTTACTATAGAAGATATTAGTCATTAACATCCCTCTAAGCTTAAGAAAAAATATTATGAAAACCATTGAGCAGTTAGTCATTTTTTATTTTGTACTGTCTTTTTTGGTAACAGCCTTATCCAGCTGTAATTCACAGACCATATAATCCACACATTAACAGTGTACAGTGCAAGGTTTTTAGTATATACACAGAATTATGCAGCCATCACCTCAATTGAGTTTAGAACTTTTTATCACCTTAAAAAGAAACCCTGTATCCTTTAGCTATCACTGTTCCCCCTTCTCCATGTCTTTCCCCTTCCCTGAACAATCACGATCTGCCTTTTCTGGACATTTCATTTAAATGAAATCATATAATATTGTTTTCAAGGGTAACCCATGTTGTAGGTAGCATGTGTCAGTACTTCATTTCTTTTTATTGCCATGTATATATACCCACATTTGTTTATCCATTCATCTATTGATGGAAATTTGGATTGTTTCTACTGTGGGGCTATTATGAGTAATGCTGTTTTGAACATTTGTTATGAGTTTTTGCGTGGACATATGTTTTCATTTTTCTTAGGAAGATACCTAGGAGTAGAGTTGCTGGGTCAAACATTTAGTCATTTTTAAAATTTACCTTTTTCAATATTAAACATTATCAGTGGACTCTGCTATGAAAGAGGAGATTAGCTTTCTTGCACTTCTTCCCAACACTGTCCCCTACTCCCACTTTTTATTAATCAAATTATTTTTACTGTGTCAGGACTTACAAGATTTATATTGTTATGCAACCATAAATCATCTGCTTATTTTATCTGTTTGTTTAGTTTTAGTTCATATTTAAAAGGATTGTATGCTTACAGCCAGGCTTTGGACCATGGCTTCTCTATATTTCTGAATCCTTTACTGTAATTTATTTCTTGGTTTTGTGGATTTCATCATTGAGAAGTTCCTTCAACAAGCGCTTGTAAGTGCTGTATTTATTTCACTCTTTCATGTTAAGAATGTCTGCCTAGTCCCTTTATGTTTGAACAATGTCTTGGCTGGATATTGTATTCTTGGGTCACACTTTATTTCCGTCAGAATGTTGTAGACATTACTCCATTGTCTTCTCCCACTGAATGTAACTGTAAAGTCTGAGGCCAGCTAGCCCTTTGTTTTTCTCCTTTGTAGTTAACTTAGTGTGTGTGTGTGTGTGTGTGTGTGTGTGTGTGTGTG